TGTCACACAAAGTCCACAAATAGTAATTAATAGATACAATCAATTTATCCCTCAGTCACACTACTTTAGTGAACGGTAGAAAGCAAGGGGTTACCTTTTTTTTTTTATCTGTATAGGATCTTGTATGGCGATACAGATTTTAAAAAAATCATGGGCGTTAAATAAATGTGGGTGTTCTGTCCAGATGTAATCTATGTGGTGGGATTTACAAATTATAGAAGTATCTTTAAAATGATGATGTTGATCGATTTGATCGCTGTCAAACCAATCAGTGTATTGATCCAGATTGATGGATAGTTACACACACACACACACACACACACACACACACACACACACACACACACACACACACACACACACACACACACACACACACACACACACACACACCTGAGTATTGGGGTCTTTACTCCTCTGTGCAGCCAGTAAAGCCACAGCCATGAAGTACTTGGAATCCGTCAGGTAGTCGTCTCTCCTTCGGGTCAAAACAGATGTATAAAATACAAGAGGACATGAATCACACAGTCTGGATCTGTACCTTTTAATTCAGCTTGTCTGTATACCAGACAATGATTTGTGACAAAATAACCTTAAAACAGTCATCTAAAAAACAGTCATCTCATGAGAAAAAGCTTATGTGAATCATTTCCAGTAAAATCTTGTACATGTCTCCTCTCTAACAGGCACCAGGGGAGCACCCTGCAGTTTAATTAGGTTAATATTATATAAGATATAGAATATCTGTTGCCAGCTCTCACTCTAAAATCGTACATCTTGGTGAAGAGATGTGCGCTATTACTTTTCTTGGTGATAAAATGTTACAGTGATTTTATCACTCAATGTGTAACACCGCTGCTCAGGCACTCTAATGGTCTGATTCCGGAGACTTACGGGGTATCTCATTTATGATGGAAACATGTTCCTGTGGTGGTTAGAATTTGTATTAAGTTATTTTAAGATGGAGATTTCATACCATTTAACCCTCAGGTGGTGCTGCAGAAACAATAATACACACTTATCTTTTGTTAGCTTATCTTTTTAAACTTGATGAAAAGCTTCTTTGACAAAATTTTCCAGAAATATTTGCATTTGGTTCTTATTGCAGCACCCTTTGGCTGCTTGTAATACACTTTTGGCTTTTAAGAGAAAGCTTAAATTGTATATTTAAGTTTAATATATAACAGAAAGGCTTTGTTGATGTTTTCATTTTTTCAAATCGAAACAATTTCTAGTATCTAGTAAAACTGGTTCTAAAACATTGCATAATGAACAGTAAAAAAACAAAACGTAAAAGTTCTATTAATAGCCAGGCTTTTATTAACTTCAGTCTATGAAATGATCCTGCCTTTACTTGGGACAGGCGTCAATAAGAGACAGGACTTTGATTATTTTCCATAAAAAGTTGTGCACACCGAAGTTTAGAAAGATTATAAAATTGTAAATTTAGAGCAGAAATAATATTCAACCGTATCAAATGCTGTGCTGGTCTATGCTGGTTTTTACCCGGGTGTAAGAGCCATCCTTTTCCAGATCAAATCAAAGAGGTGAATCGATGTTGTCCCTGCTTCTCCTGCGATGTTGCTGTGTTTGAGTCAGACACTCAGCACTGTCTCTTATATATAGGTGCTATATCACTAGGTCATCATCTAGGCTATCATCGCTAGGTCACAGCAGGCGGAGTCTCAAGCGAGTGGATGCCAATAGTTAAACTGGAACTGTGAGTATTCCAGTTTCTGAGTTTTATATCCCTGATGTTCCTAGATGCCACAGGGCTAAAATAAAAAGTATATTTAAGGCGAAAATTGTGAATAAATGTGTGTCATTGACTATTTGAAGAGCCACAGTTACCTCAATGTTTGTCAATGTTTGCACAATTGGGCTTGAATTAAAATAAAGAATTCCCCCTTTAAAATGATACCAAACACACGAAAACTGTATGTTGACCGTAATAAATTACTACTGCTACTGAATCAACAATGGAAGAAAGTAGTCGGCTAAGTGAGTAGTCGGCTACTCAAGACAATAAACCCAACAATAATCCTCTTCGCTGATGTTGATTGAATTAAGTTAAAAATGTTTGGGGGAAAAAATAGCTGAAATTATTATGTAAGATTTGACACAACTATCAACAAAAATGGTCACAGTTTTACTTTGTCATTAAGCCAGCACCAGGTGTGGTTCATCTGGGTGTGTTTGTCAAACAGAAATGCTTTGTTTATTTGTTCAACGCCCTATTATTAACATTGTTCACGCAAAAGAAATCTGGGCTCTGTACAATCTGGGCAGGGCAGGTTGGTAAACACTGCAAATCAGTATGTAAATTAGCAATGCCTACATCCTCCTCTGTGACATCAGCTAGACAAAACAAGTGAAGCCCATGACACACAAGGGCCCTTTTTCAAACCATCCCCTACACACTCCCCCTCCATGACGGAGTGCACTCCGTTAGAAGTCACACTCTCAGCTGAATGAAGTCCCCTTCATCAAGGTGTAGCGTAGAAATACAGCGGCAGGCTTTGGGACAAACTTCCCTCTCTCAGGTGGAAACAGGAACTGTATGTTACCATGGTTACTCAGCGGTATCTTTCGGGAACAGCTTTTTTTTGTAGCTAATGCATTCTGTAAAAATATTTATGTAGCCTAGATTATTCTTCTTCTTTAGTTATATTAGTGTAGACTTATAACAAAACTATTAGATTGAGCCTACATTGTTTATTGTAATTTATCATTTCAGTTAATTTAATGTAATTTTTAGAACAGGGTGTCCTAAATTAATGCAAAGACAAGGATAATATTGTTGAACATCAGAGCAGCAAAAAGTGTATTTTTTTGTTGTTGAATTGAGATTTCACAAAGACATCAAAAGTAGAAAAATAAGAAGTAAATATTAACAGCGAAAAGTTGTCTGCAACATGATTTAATATTCTTTTGTTTTTGCAACAGTCCCTGTAAATATAAAACACTTTACAATAAATAAGCATATATTTGATCCTCAATACACATTTGAAGTTGTTAACGTCTGTATGACGATATTAAATGTCTATCTTAGTTGGAGCAGTGTTTATAGACACTTGAACTCACAGGTTGCTTCATCCATGACGACCGGACACAATAGGTGTTGCACGTGATCCGAAAGTTGGCATCGGTGCACACTCGCTGGTGGAGGGTTTTATAACCTACTACCACTCCCCGCTAATCGGTTTGGGACGGACTTAATATGGCGGACCCTCCCCGGGGACGCGCAAACGGAGGGGTAGTGGGTAGAGGTAGGGTGTAGTGGCCGGTTTGAAAAAGGGTCAAGGACTTTTTAGATGAACTGACAGCCCAGTTATGAGGGACAGACAAGGACGGGTGTTCCCAGCAACAGCAGCAGGAGCTATGACCATCTTCCTGTTGCCATCGCAGTACCCACAGATCCAAGCAAGACACCAGGGTGAAAAAAGTGTCCGGCTGCAGCCTTGAGGACGGAAAGACAAACCTGACACAGTGGAAGTGAAATGCCTGTGACTTAGGACTCTGCCTTAGTGGATATGAACTGCTTTGAGCAGTGCCATATCTAGTGCACAAACACACACACAGGTTTCCTTGCTAGTCAGAAGCTATTGAATGCACCTGTGATGCTCTCCACAACTGATGGCTGTTGACAATCAGCTGGGCTGGGAGGCTTTATAGGGAGGTGGAATGCTTCTTTGTTCGAGTGGTTGAGTGTATCAAGAGAGTCAACACCATCAGTTGGCTTTCTGTGATTTTGTTTTCGAATGAATCTCTCATTTTGAGTGTGTGTTTTGAAAACACCTTTTTCTTTTGACCATTTTTTGACTCCCTCTGTTGACTCCTACTGATCTTTTGTTTCAAACTCCAATTCTATGTTTGTCTATCATTTTGATAGAATTAGTGGGGGTTTGAAGGGCTATGCTCTTCTTCCACCTGAAAGAAACCACAGGCCCACTTACGTGGTACCTTTTTGTAAATGTGCAGTGTTTTGTTTACTGGGGGAACATAACACAAATGTCCTTTTATATATTTCCATTTATTATTTGTGTTCTTATTATTTTTATTTTAGTTTTGAGTAGTGGCAGTTTTTTTATGTACTTTTTATATTTCAATTTTTATTCATTTGAAGTAAATTTTTATCAATTCAAAACGGTTCGTTCTGCAATCTGTGTTTTTAGAATAATGATTTTCTCAAAACAAATTCTATATTTTTGTTTGGGTCCTGCATGTTGATACATTATCTCTAGGTGACTAATGAACGGTCAGATGATAAAGGTGAGGTTGTGCTGAAAAAAATGATACCAGGCACTTGTATGGTAAACCTTTTTGATGTAGTATAGCCTACATAAGTAAAATGACAATTATAGCAAAACGGCCAAAATAGCCTCAGACCTCAAAGGGTTCATGTCCAACCGCCTAGGAACCAAGGAAAATGATGTAATACATTGCCAAACTTAACATGTGTATTTGATCTTGGCACAAATAATGATCTAGGTATTTTAATGCATTCCTTGACCCAGAAAATGTATATATTGACACCAAGATTTACTTTTTAAGTGGCTTGGAAGACATATTGGTGCTGCCATCTTGGAACCACCATCTTGATGAAGTGGCTCCCCCCAAAAAATTGAAAGCTATTGTGATGGAGACTATGTGGAAAAAATGTGGTGCTTTTGTCCAGCGTGTCCCCATTCTTCCCAAATCTGGTCCTAAGCCGCCTGATTAAAGATATCAGTACACTTGTATTAGACATGCACTGTAAATACTAATGGAATAAGCCTGACTGATGTCACCCATCTGTTCCTGCAGGGGGTTCTGGAGACTCATCAGCAGCAGCCACCATGCTGTAAAATCCTGTCTCAACCTCACTTTCAGTCAACCTAACGACAGGCTGAGATATAATAAATAACATGAAAGGAAAGCCTCTGATCACGGAACAATGTATGCAATTTTGCCATGGAAAATTACCATAAGGAATATAAGAGAGGAAATGTTTAGGCTTCTTAAGCAGATCTGACTTTTATTTTGTATTTGATATACTTTATAAATTCAGATTTGATACTTTATTATTGAGAGACATGCTTCTCACACACATGGACATGCATTAACAGAGAGATGATACACACTGAGCGCACTAGAGCAGTTGGTGGTTCGGTGCCCTGGTACCTACCTACCAGACCAACTTCTTTATTAATTATCCACACCTGGACTTGAAGCGGCGCCCCTCCGGTTCCCAACCCAAGTCCCTATGGACTGAGCTACTGCCGCCTACATAACTCAGAGATTAAGTAAGTTAGAAGACCTCCTTTAAAAAAACATCAAGGTGGGGTTTTAAAAGCACCTGCGAGGTGAGGGTCACAATTCAATATGTGCCAATGTTTGCTCACTCATTTTATAGACTGAGAAATAGGACCATGTGTAGGTACAAATGCCACTGAAGAGGTGTCCATGGAGCTGGGACTGACTTAAATCAGATTGCTCAACCTGTCGCAGATGATTGTCAAGTAATATCCTCTCAGTTTAAAAGCATCACAAAGACTTGTGCGCTGGATGGCCTAGTGGTTATGTCACACGCCCTCGTCGCAGTGGCTGTTTGTTCAAATCCGTACCTTGGCCCATTGCTGCATGTCATCCCCCCACTCTCTTCTCCCAACATTTTCCTGTCTTCCTGTCACAGCAAAAACAATATTTGTTCTTTAGAAGTTAGAATCACGTTTGTCCAGTTTATTACCAAGTTTATAATCATAAAACACCAAAAACAGGCGGATGGATACATTTACAATGGATACAATGATTATTTATATTAGATTATTTGCAGTCTGTTGTAGAGGATTCAGAGTTCTTCAGCAGGCTGGAGGTGCTCTTCATCCTACACACACACACACACACACACACACACACACACACACACACACACACACACACACACACACACACACACACACACACACACACACACACACACACACACCTTGTGTCAGAAACTATATGGACAACTTTATAAACCTGTTTTTTTGTGATATCATGATTTATTTATTTTTGTATTATTGATTTTCTCCTCATCCAGAGGCTCTCCCTGAGGTTTTGTAGAAAAGAAAAGACTAAGTATGTAGAAATTAAAAGGAACGTACATGTTTGTTATCCTCTCCAGCCTCTCTTTCAGATCCTCCTGGATATTAACAGACAACAAAAGAAAGGAGGTTAAAACATTAAACTCCCAAACTTAGCATTTTCAATGTGGACTATAGAAAGTTTCACCGCGGTTAAATAAAAAGCCTCAAAGTGTTACACACGCAAAGATAACACGTTTCCTTTCTTAACAATTGGTTACATAAATCAGACACATTTATCTGTTAGTCCAATAGTCAAACACAGCGTTATGTGTTACAGAAAAAAAACACAAGCTCAAGTTTGTTTCATGATGAATCATGATAATAACATTTGTATAATCTGTTTGAAGAAGATGTAGCCGTTATCAGCAGCCACGTAACCTTCATAATTATACATTTAGATGTGTTATAAAGCATACTCTTTGATATTAGCTATAGAAGGTGTTATTTAAAGACACCAATTTCTTTTCCTACTTTATTAATATGTCTTATTAAGAATGTTGACTGTAGAACATGTTTTTGTTCACCTACAGGCTGGGATTAATTGAGGATGTTCCCAGGTGGTGTGATTTTCATCTCAACATGAATCTGATAGAAATGTTTGTCTAAATATATGACGTGAACCTACATCAACGTGGATCTGATAGAAATAATATCGAAATGAATGTATGGTGACGTATATATGTTTGGATTCTTATTCTTAATCTTATTGAGTAAACTCGGTTTAGTTTGAACAATTGTCCTCCGGTCAGAATGGGAGTCACCCGTGGGCGGCACCCCTCTTTGCCTGCAGACCCCCCTCCTCTCAGCCAGCAGATAAGAGTTCACACTGAGCTCAGATCTTTGGGTTCTTTTTAGTTTTGGTTTCTTGAAGTTTAGAGCTTCAGCGCTTGCTCGCTTCTCTTCGGACTTCGGTCCGAATCACTTCTTTTAAGTTTGTGCCGTAGAGACGAGTCTCTGCCGAACTTTCTTTTTCACGCACAATTTTTGGAACATCAATTCTTTCTGGCTCAAGCAAGGTTTTTGAACTTTCTTCTCCAAAGTCTTTGCTCTTCAATTTTGAAAGCCAATTCCTTAATTTGGATTCATCAAGATGGCCATCCGGTTAATCTGAATTGGAAATCGACGTATCAAAAGACTCTTTCATATTTTTCCTGTTGGATCCTCTTGGAGCTTCTGAGACGACAGCTGAACCGACGTACAATCTCCATCCCAGCTGCACACTCCGACCAAGGTGTCAAGGCATCTAATCTGGCCCGTGGACCTCTCTGGGCCTGAAAAGAACCGCTTGCCAGAGACTGAAGCATGGGACCAGCCGGCGGAGTTCAATTGAACACATCTCACAGAAAGACTGCTGGTGGCAAGGGGTGTTGGAAGATTGAGTCTTGAGTTGTGTCTATTCAGAGCCCTCCTTTAAATCCAAATAGAATCCCAAAATACCTTTATCAACTTTTTCTTTTTGACCATTTTCTGATTAAGTCATTCAAACAATACCGTGTCTTATCTCATTACTAAATATATAATGTCACCATACATTAGAATTGCATTATCCTGATCATAATAATCATATTCTTTATGTTTCATCTATACATTATTGTTTACCCCTTTTTATATTAAATTTTACACATAAAATTCAGGACTTTGTGTGTTTTCTGGTTTAACATTTCCAGAACTTACTTCTTTCAAGATATGAAACTGACTGATTAATTAATTAACTTATACCATTAAAGTTAATTTCTTCCTTTAACAGGAAGTGGTGCCCCTTCTTAAATCCGGGTTAAATAAAGATATAACATCATAATCATTTAATTACGCTACAAAGAAGACAAAATCAGAAGCTTGAACAAATACTGAATGACATTTGATAATTTAGTAAGCATGACTAATCTGACATAGCAAACTTACTGCCAAATTTGCATGTTGTTGATCGGACAGGATGTCATGAAATGATTGGACAGTCGGAGAGCAGAGTGTTCAGCTCACCTTTGAGGCATCAGACATGTTGGAGAAGGCGGAGGACGAGGACGCACACGGCGGTGGGACACTGAGCTGAGAGAGACAGGACAGAAACAGAGATCAGTCTGAGAAATGGATCAGTGCTAGAATAAGCTTCACTACATTTGTAACATTTGACGTTTCTACATATAATCTGAGTTTACAGCTGGGTATGTGTGATGAAGAAGCTCCTCCATGTTTCTCTGTTCCTCACTAACATGTACTTTTCATTAAACTGGGTTTGTCCCATTCAGGGCAGAAATGGCGTTTTGTTATTAGCTCGATGTGACGTCTCTTTCTAACAAACAGGAGGTGAGCTGAATGTACTGTGGGTGGTGCTGCAGTGGGCCAGAGGGGATTTAGAGTTTTCATTTTCACTTTTGATTTCTCCCTCTGAAAACAGAATACTAATGACAAATTCTCAAAAATAGAAACAAGAAGGTCAGGACATCTTTTCAGACAAACCTAGAGGGAATCTTCTGGAGACTATTTAATCAGGGTAAAGGAAAGGGTTGACTTATAATTCTGCATTGACTCTACGTCGTAGTGGTCTATGCTGTCATGAACACTACATACTTGTGTGTTGGTGTGTCTGCATAGTTCTGCAATACTTCACCTACAAACGCCAGCTACCGGTTCCACCACATTGTCTGCTTGCAGGACACTGTGTATCGTCTCATGATGAACTTTGAATGCTCACACATCTCACACCCACACACATATTATTATTATTATTAGTGTGGATTATGCAACAAATAGATACTTTTATTAACGTATGGTGATGAAAATGTCAAACCCTGTAGGAGAGTGTTGGAATAATTTTCCAGGACAACATGTGATTTTCCAGGGCATTTGACTTTTTCTCTGATTTTCCAGTACTGGAAAATTAGTCAACTGTTTTCCAGGTTTTCCAGGACGGGTGGGAACCCTTCCCTTAGTTTTGTGTTTCATGCAGACACTTTCTTTGAGACAAACGGGGGGAAAGGTGTGTAATCACCTCCCTCTTCTCTGCTCAGAGTATAAATATCACCATCTTGGTGCATCTTGTGCTGGTTGGGTTAAAGAGGTTTTTGTATTGTCTTTTTTTCTGTTTGGATTCTTTTTGCTTTGTTCTTTTTATGCATTTGCTGTACATCAAAGCACTTTGTAAACGTGTGTTTTTTAGAGGTGCTATAGATATTAAGTTATTATTATTATTAGAAGAACATAGAGAAGGTTTTTCTTCTCTCTCCCCTCTTAGCTTGCAAGAGGAATGAACTTCCAAACCTTCCCAGGAAACAATGAGGCTCGTATCAGTCAATTATCTCTGAGGTGGAACTTCTTTTCAATTGCCACACCTTTACCAGAAACAAGAAAGGTTTCCTCATTCTTGGGAAATTATTTTAAGTGTAGGAATGTACACAGGGAGGGTTGTATTTGTTTGGGGTTGTTGGGTTTAAATATTAAGAACTCTACAGAATCACCCCGCCTCCGATTGTCAAACATTTGACCACTATTGTTTAACTGTAATCACAATAATTGCTGTGTGTCCAGAAAGCAGCATGTCTTGTTTTTAATGGTATGATTTGATTTGATTTGTTCATGTTAAGTAGCAGAATATGAATCATGGAGACTAATCAGGCATTTTATTAATCACCCTTCATGTTGTCGAAGCACAGAGTGTTTTAGTATTTAATCTGGAGAAAGTGTGTCGGAATTGTTTACATGTTTGTATCTGTGTGGCTCGTGTAGCCATCTCACCTTTAATGATTATATTTCTGTATGTTTGGTCTTTTTTCAAAGCAGGTTACCAACTATGCGTGTGTAAAAAAAGCTTACTTCGTTTATATATTTTCTAAATGCCCTGATTGTGTAGTTTAACTTCTGCAACAACTGAATGGTTTTTCTTCATCTGAGGTAGAAACTGTTGCTCTCGCTCAGATTTGAATCTTAAAAGTTTGTAATCAGAACATACCTGAACATGTTCCCATGATTAGGTTTGTATACAGTCAGTATAAGTAAAGAGATACATGAAGGTGAGGTACCTGTGTGTCTCTAAGTTCTGATTGAGTTTCCAGAAGAACGACTCTGCTCATCAGGTTCTCCCAGCTCTCTCTGGAGATGATCACCACGTCACCTTCACTCTGTGAGAAACATTTCATAAAGAAGATTTCCTCTGCTGTCTGACTGATGAGGGAAATAACTGATGATAAAGAGTGAGTGCTGAACCTTATCTGTGTGTCTCCGTCTCTCCAGGTCTTCCAGGCGTCTCTCCAGGACTCTGATCCGGTCCAGTCCAGGCTGCAGACTCTGTAGCTGGGCCTCCAGAGCTGAGAGTCGTCCCTCTAGCTCTGAGTGAGACTGAGACACAGACCAGACTGATTTTACATCCAGAAGAGTAGTATGTAAATAAAAACAGAATGTGATGATATGCAAAACAGTAATGCCCCATATTTCACTGAAAATAGCTCAAAGACAACATTACAAATGTTGAAATGAAATATTTCACTGTTTTGGGAAAACGATATGCTCATTTTTAATGTGATGCCAGATCCATCCATCCATCCATTATCTATATCGCTTTTCCCTTTAATGGTCGCAGGGGGGCTGGAGCCAATCCCAGTTGTCATTGGGGCGAGAGCAGGGAAATACAGAGGCTTTTTAGGTAGGGTAGAGTCACTTCTATCTGAACCATTTTGCTTGCCCGCTTTCATTGCTGCAACACCTGTTGGTTTGTTGTTTGCCTGGCAATCTGAGGGGCGCCCAAAACCGTTGTGTCGGGGTTCCTTAAAACCGCCTTCCTTCTCTGGTCCAAACAAATCCAGAGCATTCAGGACCAGAATCTAAAGTTAGGAGGAGGACATACTGGCTGCTGCATTGTTGTCAGAGAAGCCAGCACTTCAACACAGCATGTTTACTTAATGTCTGATCATATAGTAAGATCACTTTATCATTTCATTCAGTTGATATTTAATATATTGCTCCTTAAAATATGGTTGGCTATCCATCAAAGATGATCATCTCCTCCATGTTAATTTTTTAACCAAGAGGAACTAAACATCTTGTTTTATTGAAATCTTTTTGGATCCAAATATTTTAAGGTAGTTCAATTTAATAACTAGAGATGGGCAGATGATACAAAAGCTCTAAAATCTTTCTTTCCACCCATTCTGTCTGGTTTTGTGTAAAATAGAGAAAATAAAAAATGTTTCATGACGTCTGGAGCTTTTAAAAATCACTGTTTCCAAAAAGCTTCATTCATTTTCACAATTTAGAAAGTTTAACAGCTAAGAAATCAGAGACACACCGATCCACTTTTTTGGGGGGATTTCACTTATATTTGACTTTGTTGTGTTATTTCTGTGCTGTCGTTTTGGAACAATCTGGCTCTAGAATTCTCTTTACAATAATGAAAGTGAAACGTTTTCTTAATTTATTAAAGTGCAGTGTGGTGCTGAGAACTGCTATACCTTTAACAGCCACCAGATGTCGCTGTGTTTGCAGAGATTGAGGTAATGAATAAGGCCTTCATCAGGCCCGTCACTGTATTTGCCTGATAGAGAGACTCACCTGAAGGCGGTCGCCCTCCTGCTCATCTTCCTCCTCCTCTTCCTCCTCTTCCTCCTCCTCTTCCTCCTCATCTGCCTCCTCCTCTGTGATCATGTTTCCAGGAGAACTGGAGGAGAACCTTTCTGCATGGGAAGATGGATTGATATTCTGTGTGATTCACTACGAGTGGCTGATCAGGCGCCTGAAAAACAAACACAAAGGCACTAAATTGAAGAAAATGAACTTAGCTTACTGATTAAGAAGTCTAATACACGACCTGTCTGACTCTTCTCACCTGATTAAAGCACTGATTTAAGAAAGCAACCTTCTACACTCCACTTACGATTAGTGTGGGCTGAACTTCTCCTCTGCCGTCCGGCCTGCCCTCCTTGTTCTGGGCCGGACATCTGACTCTGGGCTACAAAAAAACAAGAAAACACACATGTTGAAAGGTTGGATCATGAAGGGGTAATGTCAAAGTGCCAGGTGGACAGAGAGGGGAGAAGGGAGGATAAAAACATAATGGATGGAGGGACGGATAAAGACACAATGAATACAGGATGAGGAGGCAGGTAGTGATAACGGAGAGATGAGCTGGTGATGAGGATGGAGCGAAACTGTTTTGTTTTTTTAACAGAAATGAAGTTAAGAAAAAGTCATTTACTTGTGACAGCAGCTCAATAAACACGTGCGATACCAGTCATCCTTGTACAGTTGTCTTTCAGAATATTGGTGATGTTTTGTCTGTATGTGTTTTTACCCTGTGTTTTTTATTTTGCTTGTCTTTTAAATGTTTTCTAATGGACTCCTGAGGCTGGCAATAGAGATGGTGATGATGATGATGAAACAGTGTGAAGGTTCAACTCGCAGTTGATCCCCTCAACAACAACACTTTAAGGCCCCCTTATTAGCACGAAGCATTTGTGCGCTGAGAAGAAAAGCGCTGCACATCTGTCCATGGCAACAGTCAGCTGACAACGGCAGCTGATTGACTGACACTGCTCTGTTACTTTTTACTGTATGTTTTTTATTTCAGATTGTTTATTTCTAGATCAAACACAAAAAGGATGTGGGTACAAGACATGATCCGTAGGCGGTAAAACTACGGGGGGTATTATATATTTGGTAAAAGAGTGCCGGTGACGTCAACAGCGCCTTTCTGAAAAGTTGAGGGATTCTCAACTTGAGCGCTCGGTGTGACCGCACGAAAAAGGAGAAGGGCGCTGTGCCTTTTCTCCAGGCGGCTGCTTTCTGCTGCGCACGCTGTCTGCTCGTTGAAAACAACGCTAGGTGGACACGGGGCCTGACAAAAGTTAGTTACATAATAAACAAAGTAAATATTTACTACCATATATGTTATTGCACATTTAAAAATGATGTGTAGAATACAAATATGACCCTTTTCTACATGACAGATACATTCCAGAAAAAATATCACTAAAATAATGGGTGCAATATTTAAATTTATACGTGGATTTCCTCTTTTAATTTTCTTAAATCCATTAATTTTGAACATTAAGTTCTATTATTATGTTTAAAGTACAATAGCAAAAATACAAACATGCAAAGACAGCAGATGTGATTCTTTGATCTCGGACTGTTGTTTCATACAGAAACAGGAAGTCCTCTGATGGTAGAGATCAAATAACAACTTTAATGAAGAAGAAGTGACATTATTCAAACCTTCTTCAGCTGGTTGTGTTTCTGCTGCACAAAGTTAATGACGTCACACATCACAGAGATTTTCCTCTGAGAGAAACCCCACTGCAGGAACTGCTGCTTGGTCAGGACGGGCTTATAGTGGAAGATATCTCTCAGCACCTACACACAAACACAGCAGAACACACACACACACACACGCACACGCACACGCACACGCACACGCACGTTAACAACCACTACAGACTGCTAGATTTACAGTGAGGTAGAGAAACAGTGGAGGGTTTCCAGTTTGGGGAGTTCAGAAATGTATCCCTGCTTTATGCAGATGATGTTGTTCAGAGTTGTCTTCTTCAATCTGGGACCTCCAGCAGGCCTTGGGGCGGTTTGCAGCCGAGGCAGAAGAAGTCGGGATGAGGGTCAGCACCTCCAAGTCTGAGGCAATGGTTGTATGTCTGACAGCGTCAGCAGTATTGTGCCAGACCGTCGTTATGAAGAGGGAGCTGAGTCGAAAGGCAAAGCTTTCAATTTACCGGTTGATCTACATTTCAATCCTTACCTATAGTCATGAGCTATGGGTAGTGATGAAAGAATAAGATAGTGAATAAAAGCGGCTGAAATAAGTTTCTTCCAGAGGAGGGCTGGGCTCAGCCTTAGAGGTAGGGTGAGGAGCTCAGATATCCGGAAGGAGCACAGAGAAGAGTCGCAGCTCCTTCGCATTGGAAGGGGCCAGTAAAGGTGGTTCGGGTATGTGATGCCTTCTGGGTGCCTTCCTTTGAAAGTCTTCTGGGCATGTAGAACTGGGAGGAGACCAAGAACGTGCTCGATGGATTATATATCCCTTCTGGCCTGGGAGCACCTCAGGATCCCCCTGGAGGAGCTACAAAATGTTGCTGAGGGACAACTAGGGCAGCCACCGCCACCTGGCCCAAGATAAGTGAAAGAAAATTGAATGGAATGTAAAGAAACATGGCGCTCAGCGTGCGTGTTACCTTGTAAAAAGTGTCGGTGAAGCGGAGGTCTGTTTTGCCCGTCAACTCAAATCCTGCCGCCGTCAGCTGCTCGGCGAAAGGTGGAGAGAAGGAGGTGAGGGTGAAGCTCACGATGGGAAGGAAAGCAGAGGGGTCTCCTTTGGACAGGCTGCAGGAGCAAACAAAAAGGTGCAATAAGAACAACAATACCTTATGTCTACATATTTCTGTCACTGCTTATCTTGAATCAAAATTACACAAAGTTGTGTTGAGGAAGAGAGTGGCAGCTGCTTCTTAAAAGGACGAGGTCATTTCTCATTTTTAACTCATCAATCTCAATAAAGATTCAAAATATAAATGTATTCAAAAATACATCATATTCTTTGTGTTTTATTGTCTTTTTTATTTGGGGTTTTTGACAGGGGAGATCTGCTGTTTACTTGCTCTTTATTTCTTATTCTGTGTAAGTGTAAATCTACTTGGCAATAACCCACCAATCTTATTCAGACTCTTATAAGCTCTTTGGCAATTTACTGTGATCAACATTTTAGAAACTATTGACATAAATAAATATGATTGTTGTTCATATACACAGGATAAGATACAGAAAAACTTGGTTATGTCGCATACATTAAAAGCAAACAAATCAAAACTGTGTCTTGTTGTCAAAAATGTCAAAGTGATATTTCTGTTTGAATAAAGTTAAATGAAGTGTGAATGAGGGCGAGTCTGGATCTGGATCTAACAGCAGGAGTGGAATATACTGACACCTTGTGGTGGACAGGCCACATTACAACAGCTATTTGTTGGGGGGCAATGGGACTCTAATTGGACAAGTTAGGTTTATTTATTTAAAAAATCAGAGCAAACTTTAAGAGCAGTATTTACCTGTGGCATAGATGGGAAGAAAATATTTGGAAAGGTCCCTTAAACTGTGACTTTGTTTAATTTTAGTGTTAAAAGGCAGTGATGTTGTTCTTAAATGGGGTTAGGGTTGTCCCGAATACCAGAATAAAAAACTCCCAATATGATTCTAGTAAAAATCAATCATTTCATTGTACAATAAGTATAATAAAATATTCAATCCAAATTCCTATCTGAACAAATGGAAGGTGACAGCAGACAGTTTGTATAAATGCTGTTATCCCTGTTGTTTGTATTTGTATCTAATTATATTTCTCTTTCCTTTACTCTACAACTTGACATGTTGTAACAGGTGAATTTTACTCAGTGAGCCATCAATAAAGTGTCTTATCATGTCTTTATAACAGAGTAGGCTGAAGTCTGGATTGGCTCTTGTTCTAACTTTATGTAACATTATACAAACTGTAAGGTAAATATTAACTTCTGGTGTTGCAGGAGCTCTATCACCAAAACAAATCGGTATTTTGTGACTGGTTTTAGAGCTCCCTAAAAGCAGTTTGCCTGGGCTTATATAGGTTGTCTTGCTGTTTGCAGTGTGCTGTAACCTTAATATCTACAGTCTATGGTTGTAACAGTGTTATAATCAGAAACAGTGGCTGTGTCATGACCTACCTGTTGTAGTCGACCTGTCCTGGGTATTTTATCACTCGCAGGAGAGTCTCTAGTTTACGGAGACAACCTTGGACATCTCCGGTGGACAGCATCTTTACCTTTAAATGTTGAAATCTTTCAACATTTTCGGTCATCGATATACTGTAGAAAAATATTAGTTGTAAGGTCACATTATGCTGATAACCGTGTTTCTGTTAATTAAGTGACCGTGTTAACTGGAGACTTTTAGCCGAATGCCAATGGTTACCATAGTTACAACAGTGTTGAAAGCGTAAAGTGTCCTCGCGAATGTCTCTTTGTTTAGTTTATTATTGAAAATATATACAATATATATATAAATATTTGGACAGGCATTTGTTACGACGCTTTACGTCTTCAACATGTACTGTAAAACTGCAACCAAGGGAACGTATCTGACTGAAAGTCGCCAGTTAACACGGTAACTCGTTAAACCAAAACACCGGAATAAGCGTTAGCGCTTACCTGAGATGCGGCCACACAAATGAGGTAGAAGACGTGAAATAACGACTCACTCCGAGCTACTTTAAAGCTAATTTACTTAAAACATCTTTAAGGTACTAATCTTAATTCCTCTAAAAGGTGAAAATCGCTCTAAATTGTTTCTCTAAAGCTAACGCTTCCTGCTTAGCTGGTTTTGTTTCTCCCGGGTGATCAACAGCACGGAGCATGATTGGCTGTTACGCACATGACGTGGAGATTTCTAACGAGCTGACGTCACTGACGTTACAAGCAGACAGGCTGCTTATACTTTTTGTTTCAGGTTTCCCAGATCTCCCAGCTCGTGTTTCCCTAATATTTACAGTCTATAGTGTTTCCACGAAGAAAATGAACACGTTAAAAAATAATATTAAAAAAGTAATATAATTTGATGCATCTGCCTGCGTAGAGAGGGTGAGAGGAAGGGGGCGTATCAGAGAGTTGACAGGAGCAGAGATGGGAATTTAGGCTCTTGTGAGTGATTCGGATGTTTTTGGCTCAGCCCAGCAAAAGGAACCGACTCTTTTAGCTCCCAAATAGCTCTCCATTCAACACGACTTCTTGTTTTTATAATTCTGTAAAGTGAATCAGTGTTTTTACTTAAAAACCTTTATGTAGGCCTACGCACAGCATGTTAAATGATTTTGTATTATGTTATTTCTGGAACACTACAATTTTACAAAGTTTGATATGAACACCTTTAACATTATTTTACATGTGTATAACTGCAATATCATGAATATGCAACAAATACATTCAGTATATCTATCTTCACAACACTAAATTATCTTGTTATTGATTATCTAAAAATATAATATTTAAGATCTAAATTCCTATAATCATTTAATCTAATAAAATGAATGATTAAAAAGGTAGGATATTTTAAGAATACATTTGTACAACAGAAACAACACTCTACTCAAAGAAATAATAATTTTACAACTTAATTGGTATGCGATACAATGAAACAAAAAAATCTGGTTTGTTAAGAAATGAATAGCCTAAGTAATAATACTTTTATTGCTTTTAAAATGCTCTGGAAAAAAATGGGGGTATGTTTTGAATGGAAGCCCTAAGAAGACATACCTCCATAAATGTTATACTACACTGATTCAGAATATCAGAAGTTTAAAAAAAAATCCTGACTTATTTATCCCCTTTTTCTGGATAACAACGCTCTTTTCCTGTGATAACGAGTTCATTTCTTGATAAAGTGTCCAAAAGTAACTAATCACCGAAAACCAGCGTTGATATCCAGAGATACATCATGAATAAAATGATATCTCAAGAAAACAACTGAAATGTCACTTTAAAACAGAGAAAAATAAAATGCATTGATGCATCTAAACGTATGAGCTTCATGGTCCAGAGAATATTAAACAAATAAGTACGGAGCTCGGGAGTGAAGCTGTGTAATAGTATAAACGTGGAACTCAAGCAAAGTCCAAACATAAAGCAGTTTAATAATGGTTATAAAAATGTGATTTTCACGAGGTACCGTGATGATGAAGGGCTTTGTTTACATGGATTATTGTTTGCATATTTATTTATTTAATTATTTTTTTTTTTCCTTCTGTCTTCTTTTATTTTATTTTATTCTGTTTTCTAAATAAGGATGTACATGTAAATATGTAAGTTTTTTAAGGTTATAGGCTACATACAAGTAGGCTATAGGCTATGTGTATGTATAAATATAAGGTAACTATATATTGTAAACTTTATAGTTTTATATTTAAAACATAAAATTTTATACTAAGAGTAATATAAAATTATGACCTAATGAAGAAGGGGTGGGATTAAACAAATTTCCTTTTTGGAAGTGTAAATCGAAGTAGAAAGTATTTGAGACCTTCTTGTTCTTTCATTGTTTGTAGCATACATATTCTTCTTCATCTTCTTATTTTAAGTTTTCTTTACTCTTTTTTTTACATGTTCGAAATAAACTTAAACTTCAAACTACTTTTATTTCTTTTTTTAAAGACGAATATTTAGGCTCCGCTAGGTCACTTTTAGGAGTCGGTTCTTAGAGTCGCTTTTAGGAGTCGGTTCTTAGGGTCGCTTATAGGAGTCAGTTCTTAGAGTCGCTTTTTCGGTTCTTAGAGCCACTTTCATTAGACGGTTCTTAGAGTCGCTTTTTGGAGTCAGTTCTTAGAGTCGCTTTTAGGAGTCAGTTCTTAGAGTCGCTTTTTCGGTTCTTAGAGCCACTTTCATTAGACGGTTCTTAGAGTCGCTTTTTGGAGTCGGTTCTTAGAGTCGCTTTTAGGAGTCAGTTCTTAGAGTCGCTTTTTCGGTTCTTAGAGCCACTTTCAGTAGACGGTTCTTAGAGTCGCTTTCAGTAGACGGTTCTTAGAGTCGCTTTCAGGAGTCGGTTCTTAGAGTCGCTTTCAGGAGTCGGTTCTTAGAGTCACTTTTAGGAGTCGGTTCTTAGAGTCGAATCGTTCTTTATCTTCCCATCACTCGACCGGAGGAGGCGGAGGAGGAGGAGGACGAAAACACATGATAACTGTGTTACAGTATGAAAGGTTCCTCCCGAAACACAGGAGCTGTTGCTCTGTTTTTATTCGTACTCGGCTGAATGAAATGTCAGCGGGATTCGTTTGAAAGCAGAGAAACGGAGTCTCCAGCTGTCCGTGTGCGCAGGCCGGGTTGTCAGAG